AAGAGTTTCTTATATGGAGTTGGTGTATACCTTGAGGTTCTTAATGATTAGGTTGGTGCTATACGATGTAGAGTTGGAGAGTTCCCTGTTACATACTTAGGTCTTCCCTTAGAAGCCAATCCTAGACGTATTTAGACTTGGAAACTGGTGTTGGATAGGGTGGAGGCCAAACTTGCTAGGTGGAAATCTGAACTACTTTCCATGGGAAGTAGGGTCACAATTTTGAGGTCGGTGTTTGCTAGTTTACCTTTGTATTTTATGTCTTTATTCCAAATACTGTAGGGGGTAATTAAGGAAATTGAGAGATTAAGGAAAGGTTTCTTTGGAATTGTGGTAGATAAAAATCGAAAATGCATTTGGTAGATTAGGGACTGTATGTAATTATCGTGATAATGGTGGTTTAGGTTTACTTAGTTGGAAAATTAAGAATAGGTCTTTGTGAAATACGTGTTTGTGGAGGTATAGGAATGAGAAAGGTTACTTATGTAAAGAGATTGTTGATGGAAAGGTTAGAGGTGATCCTTTAGCGCTTCTTCTGAGTCCAATAGTTAATCAGAATTGCTCTACTATATGGAGTGATATGATTAGTTCTCTTCCCCTACTAACAAATTCTTAATGCAAGTATCATTAGACTTTGGAGTAATTGTGGGTAATGGGCAACGTACTTCTTATTGAGATTATGAGTGGTTTGAGGGTTTTATTTTAAGAAAGAGTTTCTCTAGAATGCATGCTCTTGCAGTCAATAAAGAAAAGAAGGTCAGTGATTTTGGGAAATAGATTGACAATGAATGGAATATTGAATTTTGTAGGAGAATATTTGAGTGGGCAATGAGTCAAAAAGATTACTTTTTTAGTTTACTTAAAGAATGTCCTTTGGATAATAAATTGGTGTGGAAACTAGAAATTAGCGGGAAGTTTCTTGCAAGAACTTTTTGTAAGGAAGTGATAAAAAAAAGGTAGTGTGAGTGATGAGATGTGGAAATTGGTGTGTTGTGGTATACTATTGCATGATGTAGAGATATTTATATGGTAAGTTGTGTTTGGAAAGGTTGCAGTCAAGTGTGAATTAATTAAGAAAGATATGATTATTTGGAGTTTGGGGACATGTCTTACATAATGCGGAGTTAGAGGCTGTTGATCATCTGTTCTTGCCTTGTTGTGAAACTTGGAATTATGACAATTATGGATTAGAATGTGGGGCTTTCAATGCTTTTTTTTGGGAGATGTTTGGACTTTTTGTTGGGTATGGGACCAACAACCTCCGTTTGAGTTGACCGTTGATTGTATGGGTGATCGAGGGATAGAGTATGTGACTAGTTAACTCACAGCGTTATGGCACCACCCTTCATCCCCACCAACCAATTAGTGTTAAGCTTTGCTCTACTAGGTTAAGATAATTAAGTTGCGTTAATGCCATCAGCTATAGCTTTTAGCATAGATAGTAAAACTTGGTCCTAGAAACTAGAATCAGAGCAAAGTTGCTAGTTTGACTCTCCAGGATCGTTGTTGGGGGGGGGGGGGGGGAATTATTGGGTATGGGACCAACAACCTCCCTTTGAGTTAACTGTCGATTGTATGGGTGATCGGGGGATGAAGTATGTGACTGGATAACCTGTGGTGATATGGCATATGCCCTCATGCCCACCGGCCACTTAACGCTAGGCTCTACTCTATTAGGTTAAGGGAATTAAGTTTCACCAATGCTATCGGCTATAGCTTTTAGCACAAATGGTAAGCGCTTGGTCTTAGAAACAGTGTTAGCTTTATTCTTGTTTTGATCTGACAAAATTAATTAAACTTAATGAGCTTTGAAAATGAAAGATATTTTTTAGTATGAAGAAAAATCTCAAAAGATTGTTGACGCTAAACTTAATAGAAAAATATATTGAAATGCTTAAATTCTTTGAATATAATTTTAATATGGATGATTATACTCTTAATTTTCTCAAAAATCTTTTTTTTTTCAAAATTAAGTGTGCCAGCCAAGGATAAAGTTTTCAAAAGAAATAACTTGATTCTTGAATGAAAATGAAACAAAATATATTTCTTTAAATATAGGAAGAATTGATTCTAGAGAAGAAAAAGTCAGTTCTTGAGCAAGATCAATAGTGAAGAATCAATTCTAAGACAAGGAAAAGTTGATTCTTAAAAGATAGAAGCTTTAAGAATTGTGAAGAACTGACACCTAAGAGACAAGGAATTGATTCTGGAGAAACAAAATGAAAATTGAGAAAAGCAAAGGAAACAGAATTGATTCTACAAAAAGAAAAAGTTGACTTTTGAAGCACCAAAAATATAATTCAGAAACTTAGTGACCAAGAAAGGCATGCCACAACTAGACAAACGTGGAGCAACAAAATTCAAGCTTGAATTCAAATTTTGGCGTCAATCCACGGTGAAGAACCAACATCTTGAGGCAAAAGAATCAATTCTCCAATATTGCAACAGTGTCACCTTTACACCTAATTGTAGAAAAATCGACACCTTAAAATAGAAGAATCGATTCTTCATATACAAAAAGTTATAGACTTTGTGCAAAACCGATAACTGAACTACAAAGATTTGATTCTACAGAAGTGACAGAATTGTGCAAGTTGGCTTGAACATAGAAGAAATTATTCAAAACTTATTCCAACGGGTAGAAAATCTCTTAGGCTATAAATATACATTTTGAAGAAGTTAAAGAAAAAAGAGAAAAGGATTTTGAAAGATTTTAAATCATCTTTGAAAATGGAAAAACTGAAAAAACAAGAGCCAACAGCTGAAAGTAGAAAAGTTCTTATTTTTAAGCAAACAAAGAGCCTAAAGTTCATATCTTGACCCTTCAACTGATCTTTCTTGAGCTTAGACTTTTCTTAATTATTCTTATCTTTGTGAAAGCTCACACCTTTGTAAACCTAAACTTCATTATCCACTTTTTTATATATTTTTAGTTTGTGGTTTAGTTGAATCCACTATTGTATTAGTTATACCTCCAAGTAAAAGGTAGAAAGGTTTTGCTTGATTCTTTAAAAGGCTTGTTTTGTGTAAAGGTTGTGCTTTAACCTTAAAAGATAGTGTCTTGGCAGAGGTTATGTCTGATCTTGCAAAAGGCAAGTTGTAAAGGTTACACCTGATCCTGCAAAAGGCAAGTTGTGAAGGTTACACCCAATCCTGCAAAAAGAATACTATAAAGATTACGCGTGATCCTATTGAAAAGACAAACTATTAGTAGATTCAAACTCCTTATACTATTAAGGGAGAGGACATAGGCATTGGAAAGCTAAACTTCTGTAAAAATCTTGTTAAGTCCCTTTTTACTTTGCTACGCTTTATTCATTAAGTTTATACTCTGTTTATTGCTTTATTCTTTCACAATTGAGTTGATTTTTCTTTAAAAAGGGAAATCTTTTAATTAATAACCAATTCAAACCCCCTTCCCTTTCTAAGTAATTTTACTTTAAGATTATTTTTTGTAACACATTTCTTCTTGCTTGGAAAGGGGTTGTGATTAGGGAGGGAAGTAGGGAGTTGTGGGGCATGTCTTTTTTGTTATAAGTTGGACTGTGTGGTTGTTTAGGAACGAAATTATTTTTAAAGGGAAGTTTGGGGTTTCTTGAGCAAGTGAGTGATTTAGTTAAAATATGTGTTGCTTCTTGGGCTCGTACTAGATGGCCAAAGATTGCTAACTCCTCGCTTGGTATTTTGATGGCTCTAAATTATGCAAAAGTTCCTAGTCAGTGCACTAAATATACTGTTGTGGTAGATTGGGTGATGCCTCCTAAGGTTTGAATAAAACTCAATGTTGATGGGACTACTAGGAAAAATCTTAGAGATGCGACTACTGCTGGAGTTTTGAAGAATGAGTTGGCTGAAATAAAAGTTATGCTTTCTAAATCTATTGGGGTTCATGATGCAAATTTTTTGGAACTTACTGTTGTCCTTGAAATTTTTTCAATTTTTGTATCTTATAAAAGGCAACCTACTTAATCTTTGATAGCGGAGAGTGATTCCTCTAATGTTGATAAACGGGTTAGAGATCTGGATAGTGTGCCTTGGAAATATAGGAAATTAATGAAATTAATGGATACTCATAATTGAGCAACTTAAAAGGAAGACAAAAAGCTAGATTGTTCATACATTGAAAAGCACTAATGGGTTTGCTGACCAATTGGCTAAAGCTGGAGTATTGAGAGAAATTGATTATACCAATATTCTTTCATAATGCTAAAGTATTACATTTATATGTTTGCTGTTGTATTTTTTTGAAGTATTAGTAGCACATCTCTTAGTCTGCTGGCTGCTACTGTTTACTCAGGTTGATATGGATTTGGGTACTGCTTCGTGGGTTTGTTTCTGCTGCTTTATGGTTGATTCAAAGTTGTTTCTTGTTGAGCAGCATGTGGCTGTGGCTGCACACAATGAACGTTACTCGATGGGAGGGCTTCTAAATTGGAGGGCAGCTTTAGTACCTTCTTGTTACTTAAATTCGGCTACAACGATTGTGACTTTTGTCATGTCCTTTTTCAAGTCTACGGCTCTTAGCTAGTATTCTTTTAGCTAGAACCCATAAGGCTTCAATTATGTGATAGAGTATCCCAGTTTCATATTAATGAATTGTTTATAAAAAAAAAACTCGATTTGTTTGAAATTAAACTTCATTACAACCATTACAACCAAATAATATAATAAAACAATTTAAGTCGAATCTAAATTTACTTAATCAAGATAACTCGAATCTAACAGTAAAATAATGTAAAATTTGAAACAAGCTAACATTCATAGTTACTCGAATCTGAATTGATCGTATTCTAATTGACTCGAAAATTGACAGGATTGGAATTAATTTGAAAACCGAAACAATCCGAATATTAAATGATTTAAACAAGCCCATAAATCTAAAATTTAACTAATAAACAAATTTAATAATTAACACTTATTATCATCAACATGAAAAACAAATGTGGAAATTAAATCAAAGAAGCATGAAAAGAGATTAAATAGACATGGATGGAAAAGATAACTCTATTGTTAGAAAAAAAAGATACATGTAGAAATATACATGGGAATGAGAAACAATTAATTAATATAATATTATTTAAATTTCATCTTGGGGTTTAGGATTTAGATTTTAGGGTTTACAATAATATTATTGGAATTTGATCCTAATGAAGTATTCTTTTACTCTTTTCTTGGATTGTTGGCACAATCTAGTTCTTAGTGCCCATGGGACTATGGTTAATCAACTCATTTGAGTTGTAATTGAGGACTAGAAGAATAGGTTACGTGGACAACAAAATGAGCTGGAAAATACAACAGTGGGGTCCGTGATTTGAGATGAACCTAGGAAAAGACAAAGCCTCCCATTGCTCATCTCCTCGATGTGGGAGCTCATGCTTCCACGTTCACATCTTCTCTATCAAGTTCTACAATCAAACATTCTCATCATTAAATAAATAAAATTAAAATTTCCAATTTCAAAGCTAACTTCATAAAGAAATATTAGTCATTTATTTATATATTAAAAAAATATTTAAAAAATTGATAAAACTTGTTACCCACTTAAATCAAGGAGTAGCTTATCTACCTGACATTTTTAGTAGGAGGTTTGTTGAGGGGAAATTATCAGTGGGAAGTTGTTCTCTTGTTTACTCATGACTCGTAAAGCCCAGTGATCTTCTCCCCAATTTTCTCCAACAGGCAACAAGGCAACAAATCTTATCTTTATCACTTCTGCAGGATATCTCTATTCTCTACCTTTCTCTCTGGTTCTATCCATGGAGCTCATCGTCTTCTCAATCCAACCTTTGCTCCTCCTGTTTCTCGTCTTTCTTTATTCTTACTATTACTTCTTCGCTTCACACCATAAGCCAGATGATAATAAGGGGTTCAAAATCTACCCCATACTCGGTACCTTGCCCGATTTCTTGAGAAATCGGCATCGATTTCTTGATTGGACAACCGATATTCTAAGCCGATGTCCCACCAACACATCTGTCTTTCGTCGCCCTGGTAAAGTCCATGGCATCATCACTGCAAACCCTTTAAACGTCGAGTACGTTCTCAAGACCAACTTCGACAACTATCCCAAAGGCGAGCGGTTCATTTTCCTTCTCAAGGACTTCCTTGGCCAAGGAATCTTTAACTCTGACGGTGAACTATGGAAAATTCAAAGGAAAACAGCTAGCTACGAGTTCAACACCAAATCCCTCCGGAATTTCATCATGGACAATGTTAGGGTCGAGACTTCCACGAGGTTGATTCCGGTTTTAAACCAAGCTTTAAAAACTCAACAGGTATTGGATTTGCAGGATATTTTGGAGCAATACGCGTTTGATAACATATGTCAATTAGCTTTCAACCTCGACCCTGGTTGTCTTAGAGGCGATGGAACATCTGGTTCTCAGTTCATGCGTGCTTTTGAAGATGCTGCCTCGCTTAGTTCTGGTAGATTTATGTATGCCTTCCCCTTTTTTTTCAAGATAAAGAAGATTTTCAACATGGGGTCAGAGCGAAACTTAAGGGACTCGATCAAGATTGTGCACGAATTCGCAGATGACATCATACAGAAAAGATTAGAAGCCAAAGCTGAGAATCAAGACGAAGATTTACTGTCCAGGTTCATCAGAAACGATGACAATTCACCTCAGTTTCTCCGAGATATCATCATAAGCTTCATATTAGCAGGGCGAGACACCACATCTTCAGCTTTGACCTGGTTCTTTTGGCTGCTATCAGTAAACCCAAATGTCGAGCTAAACATACTAAAGGAGCTTGAATTGATTCGACAACGAAATGGGAAAAGCATCGGCGACGCATATACCTTCGATGAGCTTCGAGACATGCACTATCTCCATGCTGCAATTTCAGAAAGCTTAAGATTGTACCCCCCAGCTCCGGTCGATACAAAAGCTTGTCTAAGCAATGACATTCTCCCAGATGGAACATTTATTGGGAAAGACTGGTTTTTCACTTACCATGCATATGCAATGGGGCGCATGGAGGCCATATGGGGCAAGAATTGCAAGGAATATCTGCCTGAAAGATGGCTTGATGAAAACGGAAACTGCAAGCAAGAAAGTCCATTCCGGTTTCCCATATTCCATGCCGGACCAAGAATGTGTCTAGGGAAAGACATGGCTTACATTCAGATGAAGTCGATTGCGGCAGCAGTTATGGAGAGGTTCGTGATTGAGGTACCAGGCAAGGACAAGTGCCCTCAGCACTTGTTGTCTTTGACTCTTAGGATGAAAGGTGGATTACCTGTAAGAATAAGGGAAAGATGAGAGTGGTCTTCTTGTTTTTTTTCTACAACAAGACTGGCCTTGGCTTCTTTACTTTATCATCATCAGTGATGTATTAGTATAGTTACCTACGTTATTCCATTTCACATGTCTATGGTTTTTCCAACATGCTAATAAGCATCACTGCATATGATACAATTATAAAGAATAAAACAGACAAACAATGCTGGCATGGTGTTGGCTTTTTCCTCTCAGTCTCGTCAATGTGATGTTGTCCTGAATTTTTACTATAACACGGCAGGGATACGTGATCGGTGATCGCTGCTTTTTTTTTTTTAATACAATAAAATTTTTTTAACTAATAAACAAATATTTTAATTTTTTCATAATTTCTATTAATAATATTAATATTTTTGAAACTACATATCCATTTCGTGTAATTTCAATTAAAATTTAATAATATAAAAATATTTTACTTAAAAAATAATATATAATAATAATTTTTAAAATTATTTAAATAAATAAATATTTTTTATTATATTTAATTAAATATTTTTATTTTTATTTTGAATCAAATGATATTCAAATAAATATTTATAATTAATAATTAATTAATTATTGTTAATAAAAATAATATTATTTATCATTTTATATTACACAATGTTAACATGAAATGTTAATCTATCTTAATAAATGATGATGTAACATAATATATTGATGTGATAAAGATCATGGTCATTTTTTATGTTTCACATAATGATATATAAATATATTTTGATTAATGACAATTAATCAATCGTAAATTATAAAAATTTATTTAATTTTAAAATAAAAATATAAAAATTTAATTAAATGTAATAAAAAATTTCAATTTTTAATTTTTTAAAAAAAATTAATAATATTTTTAAATATAATAAAAATGAAAAGCCAAAATGTACAGAGGCTTCCAAGTGCAAATGTCAACTGAACCCAGCTCTTCTACAGAGTAATTTTCTTACCAATTTTGTATTCCATGATTTTCTTTCAAACAAAAAATACCATGATTTTAGGGTAAATATTTTTGACTAATTAATGCCTTTAATGACTACCAAAACTAAACTGTAATAGACACTATTATTTGACTAAGTGCTCATATTAAGATTTAATATTTGTCAAATATTTCATTTCAAAATTCAATTTATTATTTCCTTGAGATTAGAACGTAATATTTTAGATTATACTTTTATAAAAAATCAATGACCAAAGTTAACAATACAATAAAAAAATGTATAGTTGCTAGTGAAAATAATTCTTAGCTAGACCTGACAGTCCGTATTTCATGTTTTAACCGTGTCGTGTAAATATAAGATATTAACAGTTATATGGATAAATATGAACACGATATGATTAAGTAATTATGTTATAATTTTAAACACGTATACAGATATATTTAATAAATATGTAACATGATATGACACGACATGATTAACATGTTTATTAAACATATCAAGTTAAATTTTATACAACATGACGTAATTTGTTTACATGATTAGCACAATTACAATTAACATGATAGATACAATTAACACAATTAATACAATTAATATGCTTAAATTAAAATTATATTTTATTATTCAAATTTACAATTAAAAATTATAAATATCATAATGTTTATCAAATATAATAAAATTCAACATCAATAAATCTTAATCATCATAAAAATATTAATCTCTATTTGGATCAATAAACAAATCTTAACCATATACTAATCGTTTCTACCTGACACGTATTCATGATTAAATAAATAAATAATATACGGATCATAGATTATAAGAGTACACGGATAACATGATTAATTAATCATGTATTAAATAGGTCTTAAACGAGTTAATCATTAAGACACAATTTATTCGTATCGTAACATTGTCAACACGATTACCTTAAACTCAAACTCACTTAAATCCATGTCTTATTGTCGTCTCATATATTAAGTCTATTCTAAACCTTTTATTATCTATTTTCTCTAACTGCATAAAATCCAAAATATTGCATCCTAATTTGAGCAAAATAACATATTGAATTCTGAAATATATGATAAATGTTAAATCCTAAATTAAGCATTTAATCTTATTATTTTCGATTTACATGTAAATAATATTTTTTGTACATATTGGGTGGCACCAAGGAGAGCAGAAACTCTAACCCTTGGGCTAAGCCTGAGTTGAATAGATTAATTTTTATTGGAAACAAAAGCAGATTACTGTTATTTCTGTACCAATGATGCAAAGAACTTACAGGATAGAATCATCATTCCATGCCTTGAGAAAATCAGAGAAGATAATTTACTCATCACTGTTAAAATAAATTGAAAGCCCCTCCCTCTCTCTTTCTCTCTGTGGCTAAGGGAAGTGACAGTGAGCCCTTGAAAACCTATTCTGGCTGAAAACAAGCTCATTCAAAACATCAATGGTTTCTAAAACTACACATTGCTGCAACCAGTGTCTGGCAGTAAAATCAATTTAAATGACATTTAGGGAATTGAGAATGGTGCTACTCTTGTAAAATGCTAGGAAGTCAGTTGACATTACTCTGAGAGCAGAAAATGTTATGCGGCACGTAACCCTCCCTATGTATGCAACCACCTCTCTTGCAGCCTTCAAATAAGAGCTTCAGTAAATCGGTATTTTACCTGCCATATCCATTCAGCACATTCATCAACAAATTGAATGAGTATAAAGTTACTTCTGATAAGCATTAAAAAAGCAGTGAATCTGTTCAAAAGCAAGAAAGAATGGAAAAGGGTACCTGTGAAATAGAAACTCAAACTTATGGTTATTATTATGATAAACAAGCATGGCCTTTCCAAAGCAGCGGCTGAGGTTGACCTATAGACAACAACATCAACCACGTATGAAAGGAACATCCATAGAAATAACCAAAACATAAGGAATTTATAAAATGATTGAATAATGAAATTTCTTCATCAAAAGAAAAATTAAAATTTCTTATCACAAACAACTAAAGCCATCAAAAAGTACATGGAACACAAATCATTTCTATTTTTAAGCTATATATAAAATATTTTTGCTTTCTTCTCTTTTAATTTTTAGCAAATGCCTCACATTCGCAAAGAAACAGAATAATTGGTTGTGAGGACTGCCGCTGGCAATTGTGCATATTATTGGACCCTGCATGTTAAAACAGGACATACTAGTGCAGCATACACAGGGGCACCAGCCATGACATGTTGCATACTGGCAGCATATATTTTTTCAATTGGTTGTTGGACAGAAGCCATTGCCTCTTGCATTCTCTAGAATCAGATATTGCTGAAGTATCAAGTTTTGGCTACAAATGAATGAGAAAGGGGTTGGGGAAAGATAGGAGAAAAGAAAAGACAGGATCACAGGATTGCTTTTCATCTGCATATGATGATACATGACCAACAAAATTATAAAAATAAGTAATTGGTGAATACCGTGAAACAATGCTTGCAACCGAATCAGTTTTAAGTCCAAATCCAAGGGGGAAGAGTGGATCATAGTGTGAATCCCCAACAGTCATAGGAAGCTGATCTACAGCTTTGAACCATGTTCTTGGAAGCATTCCACTGAATCCATAGTCCCCATAAAGGGCATCAGTCACCCCTTGGCCCTCAGTACCAGGTAGCCATGCTGCCACTAGGGCATCAATGGTGGAAACATATGGTTCAATAACAATGGGTCGGCCAGAAATGATAACAACCACACACTTGACAGTTCCACAAACATTGGTAATGACGCTTGGGCTGGGGTCCATCATTGTAAGAGTTGTGCTATCCCCTGCAGTCTCAGCATAAGGGGGCTCTCCAACAGCAACAATGGCATAATCAAAGTTGTTAGACTTCACAAAGTCAGCATCAGGGTTCTCGCGGTAGACAATTTCTGTGCTTGGGTCAACAGTAGAGTTTATGGCACCAAGGATTGTTGTTCCTAATCATAGAAAGGAATTTTATTAAATTGATTACAAATTATGTCAGCAATTGATTTTTTTTTTCCTGCTTCAAGAGACAAATGGATGCTATTTTCCTAATTTCCTATCAAAAGGGTTCTTGCAAGCAATAAATGGGAGATTTAAAGAAGATAGATATATAAGAAGATCATACCCCTTGTATAGTTATTGCCACTAAATCCCTGCCAATTAATTGTCCACCCACCACATTGATAACCTAAATTATCAGCGTGGGTGCCAGCAACTAGAATCTTTGAAGCTTTCTTTGGAAGGGGCAGTAACGGAGTAGTTCCACCTTTCCCATTCTTCAGCAATACAAGTGATTTTCTTACAGCTTCCCTCGCCAAGTCTCTATGTGCCTGAGTAAGTAATGGGATCGTTTAGAACTTTTACAAATAGCACTTGGACCATGAGACACAGAAAATAACTTAGTGCGTAAAAATTCAACAAAAGAGAGACCAACAAATAGTATTTGATTTTACAGAGACCATGGTCATGGATGTTAATTTGACATCAATATCATCCAAAGAAAGCTGGATTCAGAAATGAAATCTTGTTTGAAAGTTAGGAATATGGCATTTTATGATAAGCTCGCTAACCTGGCTTCCAAGTTCATGGACCAGACTAAAATCAGCGAAAGGATTCTCAAACAGACCCATGGTGAATTTCACTAGCAAAATTCTTTCTACAGCGTCATCAATACGATCCATCGGAATAACTTTGCTATTCACTAGGTAAGTTAGATCATCAACGAACTCGGTATGGTTGAAGGGAACCATGACCTGCAGATCAGCGATTGTCTTAGAAAGCATCGATAATGTCAAGATTAGAGTTTTGTATTGATTATTCAAGCGCATGAAAGCAGATTTCTTCATTTTACTTCCACATTTGTCCATACAGAAGCTACTAACCATATCAATGCCAGCTTGAATTGCTGCTTGAACAGAGTATGTGTAGTTCAAATGTGGTGGTGAGGTGATCCTGTCTATTCCCTGCCAATCTGATATTACAAAACCCTGAAAATTTTATCCAGAAAACAAGTTGTATTAACATCAAAAGCTCAATATTAGTACAGCATTAGCATTTGTTTGTGTAAGATTATTGGTCCATACACATAAGGAATGAATGTATGTTATTGAGCCACTGTTAGTAGATTAGTTGTGTATTTGTAGCTAAATCCAGAATTGAACTCAAGAACAGAATTCTTAGTCCAATCTTTTTATTAAGTGCAGTATCTTAATTCTGTTATACATTTGCAAATTTTAGTAACAGAAGAAGCTGCAAGAAATACTGAAAATACAAACCACACTCAACCTTAAACTTAAGAGTGTTCTTGAGGAATCCAGTAATCAGCTCATGGTTTGCATGCATCTTTTCGCCATTCCAGCTGGAGTAGGAGACCATGATTGTCGAAACACCCTTGATAATAGAATAAGAATAGGCAGGCATGTACATGCTAAGCAGCCCATGCATGTCAATCACAGTGTTGTTTTCATTGATACCCCTGGTTGTCCCACCATCACCCACAAAGTGCTTTGCACAAGCAGCAACCTTGTCCCTAGCAGAATTTAAGAATAGAATGAAGAAAACAAAGATGATTCAAAAAGTAGACACACAGTATTATAGACACAGTATACAATATTGAGGCATCATTAGTGATACCATTCCAAATATAAGCTGTGTAAATTGCACTATTCATGAATTATGAGAAGACTATATTACCCTGTTATTCACAGTGCATCCAAGATAACTGAAAGGACAAGTGATATATACTTTAGATTGTAATGCAAGAAGGAATTCATATACTTGACTATTATGTTGCTCTGACTCATGATTTTTTTTTTGAGTAACCATGTCCAACACATATCCACCCAACATGGGAATACAGCTCCAACCGTCCAAATATATGGAAAACTCAGTTAGAATTGAATGCAAACACATACCTATATCTGACATTCATCCCCAAGTCAAAGTAACATAACTTGTCTAGGCACCTTTAGTTTGGCATGCTATGGTATCATGGGGAGTGTTAAGGAGTATGAATTAGTGATCCAATCAACCTAACATTGGCACATCAATTCTATGATAAAACAAGAAGGCCCATGGCATTAATAAAATGCAGAGTCTGTATTTCTAGAAGAATGTAGCTCCTCAATGTTTGACAACCATACAGCAGAATTTTTAAGAGTAAATTCAATTTCACAGCATGGAGTATGTTTAAACTCAGATAGCGTTCATACTTTCCACCAACATAGGGAACCCCTTTCCGAGAACCAGAAGGAATATCTCCTTGCAACCCAAATATAATATCCGTCATCTCTTCCACAATTTTATGATCCTCACTGTAGCTTTCATAACACCGACCCCACCTTGGATCTCTACAAACCTATAAAGAAATGTCAAATTAAAAGAAGGTTGCATTATGGAATGGTGAATTCATATGCAGAAGGCATCCGAGAAGTTGAAGAAATTGCTGGAAGCAACTCTTTCAGCTTACTACAAAGTATGTAAATTACCGCAATGCATGGGGCAAAGACATAAGGAATTCCAGTAGCTCTCACTTCAAGAGCAGTTGCAGCACCAATCTTCTTCACCAGCTCAGGATCCCTGCATATCAACAGTTCATTTAAGATGCAGACATGCAGTGCATTCCAAAGGAGGAGCAATATAAGTTCAACTCTTTCTTTCCCTTCAGCAGAAAGACAATGGAATTTTTAGAGAGCAGATATAACTCTTCACATCATTTAACTGAATTCAAACTATTACTTATGTTTTCCTTTTTCAAATTTTTTATGCCAAAGATAGACTTTGTACTTTGAACTAAAGAATGGAAAGTTATATAAGGACAACAGCACAATAATTAAGTGATTGTCTGACAAATATCACCAGACACAGAAATCAACAGCCATGCTTGCCTGGTTGCTCCAAGCCCCACATTATGTGGAAATATTGTAGCGTTATAAACATTGTTGTGTCCATGAACAGCATCAATGCCATAAATCATAGGAATTCCTAAACGACTAGCCAGAGATCCATTCTGATAAGCATTAATCATATTGACCCAATCCTCGGCACTAGCCTGTGGAAGTGGTGCACTCCCACCACCACTTAATACACTCCCTGTGCAAGAAAAGATACCGTGAATTAATGACTGTTAACAACTAGAAATTTTAGAAATACATAAAACACATAAAAAAAAAAGAAAGAAAGAAAGAAAAACGACAATTAGAGACAGAGCATGCCAGTTCAAAAGAATGCTACTATAAATGGCTTCTAGCATTACATATGAACCAAGTTTTCTTTTTCTTCTTCTTTTGGCCTGAATGAACCAACATTTTAAAATACCATACTATAACTTAAAAGCCATACACTAATAAAATATTTTTAAAAAACAAACTGTGTAAGCACTAAAATTATGCATATATAATGCTGAACAAGACTTACTTTTTGTGGTATAATAATATTGATAAATAATGTATTAGAGGTAACCATTTCCAAATTGTTGTAGACCCCATCAACAACAATAATCAGAACCCACCAAAAAGGGGTAAAAAAAAATCATTGGCAGCAGCAGCAGCAGCCAGAACCAACACAAAGAATGAAATGTTGAAAACGAAGTAAAAATATTACCTATGGAGTAATCCCTCAGTATCTGTTCAGTAGCAACAGTTCTATCAATCTGGACCATCTGACCTATCTTCTCTGCCAGTGTCATTTTGGACATCAGATCCTTGATCCTAGCAGCTACAGGTTGGTTGGGATCCTTGTACTTGACATCCTCTGCTCCCACCACCATTCCCAACCACAAAACCCCCACAACCAGCTTCAACAAACCCCTTCCCATCTATAAACAAAAACCCAATATTTTTTCAGAGACAAATAACCAACATCAAAGTTTTGAAGTCATGAAGAGTAGAAGCAGCAGCAGCAGCTTAACTTAAGGAACAAAAAGACAACAGCTACATTGCCTGAAAAAGGAGAAAGACAAGGAAATCTTACATGTGAAAGGCAAAATAATGAGACCCTTTTCAGCAGAGAGAGAAATAAAGTGAAGTGCTTACTTTATGCCTTTAGAAAGAGTTAAGAAAGGAAGAAAAAAGGCAGCAAACCTATGGCTCTTGTTTGAGTGAGAGAAAAGCAGAGAGTAAAGAAATGCCACATACAGGGAACGGGACGGTTTCCTTTTGTTGTTGGCATTGTTTTTACTTGGTTTTAACAACGTGGTGGGCTCAAAACTCGAACGAGGGAGTGGGGTTTCGTAAACAGTTACAAAGCGGTTGAGAATGGAGAGTGGGGTTCCATCATCCATCTTCTTTCTTCAATCTTGCCTCTTCCTTTTATTGACCTAACTGTCTTGGCATTTATTTTCGACCGTTTACTTAGCCCACGGACTTTGAAATGCACCTACTTTTGTTTTATTCAGACAAGTAGGAACAGGACATGTCTATTTTAGTTATGTCATAATATATAAACAAAAATTATTAAATTTTTTATTATCTTAAATCAAATTTTCATATTTTACATTGAATCAATTAAATTATAATCAAAATATTATATTACCTTTTTATGTTGATATATTATATTTTAATAAGTAACAGTATCATGATATCTTAATCACATGGTATTTTTACACTTCATATCAATGTAATATAAAAATAAAATAACATGTGTTATTAGGTGTTAATTTTATTAAAAATAATTGATTAACTATTAGTCATTAAAGATTTATTTGATAAAAAATAAAAATGCATGGATTTAATTAAATACAATAAAAGAATTAGAGTTTATTTAAAGTTTTTTAAATAATTCGAAAGGTTTTTTAAAGCATCATGCCTTCATTTTAATGACATTTTTGCATAATTAAAATATTTATTCATGAAGTTGAATTTAAATTCTTTCTATTATAAAATATAAAATAAAAAAGTTTATAATCCAGGTATGTATTAGTTAGACCATTAGTCTATACACACTTGGGACTAGGTTAAAAAGTACACCAGCAATTATACCAAGATTAGTAAATCAGTAATTTGCATTACTCTATCCATCTAAAAATAAAAATCCACTTTTTTAATTGAATTGTTTTAAACTAATATCCACTTTTTCCCAAATTAAAAGCATTTTTTTTCTATATATCATCATCCAAATATTAATTTTAAATGAGCCCTCTAACTTTTATTATTTTTTGAAGGTAAAAGTTTTAATATAAGAGACAAAATATCATATTCTTAAAACTTTGTGTCATTAGAAAAATAACCATTTACTTTGTAGCAAAAGGAGAAAAGAAAGAATGGATGTAAGTTTCCTTATGTTATGGTTGAACATTGAGTTTCTTATAAGAGTAACCTCGGTAAAATGATTTCATTTAAGCAATAATCGATTCAGAATTCTACATATGAAATAATTAAAAATAATCATATAAGTTCATAGATATTTCAAATTTCAGTTAAAATAAAAATAAAAAACTAATAAATGACGGTTACCATCACTCGTCACCACCTTGTCCCTGTCAATGCACCCACCCAAGGTATCTTGCATTGCTTATAGTCTACATATAAAAAATTGGAATAAACAAGAAACGAAGTTTTGATGGTCGATTGGATGAAGAGGGCTAACATGTCATTGTATAGCTTATTGTTTTGATAAAGGGATCGCAAAAACCCTAAAAGTAGAAGCCAAAGAAAGGGAGTTTCGTGAGGAAAAAGTGATGCCCCATATACATGTAACCAGGGACGAAGATTCCAAACCATACATATGAAAAGCAAAGAAAGAATTGCTTGATATAAAGGGCAATCCAATCTCAAAAGTGTTTCAGGTATACAGCCTTCAAACTTTGCCAGAAGTTACATATATATATATAACAAACCACTTGCTATTACATTCATTATTACATGTTTGTCTGAAACAGAGACAAGAGTGGAAGTCAAAAGCGATTGCCATGAGGCCAAGAACTACTGGGGTTTCGACAGGTGCACGTCCACAGCCACCTCAGAATTTCAGACCCAAATCAGAATGGAAGCACGAAGAAGCAGCAAGTTTTTTGTTTGTTTATCTTCCTGGTACCTCTTTATATTTCATCACTTCTGTTGCTGTCAGCTCTCATTTACATGTCCTTCAATTCCTTTCTGCTTCTCCAATGAGTATATATGGGTTTAATTTGCCTAGGGTTATCTCAATGCATGGATTATTATTATTAAGATTTAGTACGTACCATAAAAAGTTCAAAGGGAGGAATATTAGAACCCTAAACTCCCTCTTAGAGGGTAACAATTTTTAATTTTTTTTTTCTGTCTCATTTTGTTTAGATTATTTTTATCTTTATTTTTTAATAAAATTTTTAAAAGTAAGACTTACATCAAACTCTTTAAAACATATTTTTTTAATTTTTTATATATAATATTTTAAAAAATAATTATCAAAATTGAATTCATTTTTTGTGTGGATAAACTTTATTGTTGTAATATTCATTGGTGACACAGGATTTGTGGGGGATCAATTAACAATAAAACCGGACTACTCGAATCGGATGGTGAACGTTCAAGGCGAGCGTCGGCTTCCCAATAACAAAATATTGCCTGTAAATGAAACTTTCAGCATTCCTGAAGATTGTAACTTGGCTAAAATGGACAAAGAATTCGGGCGAGGAATTCTATTGCTTAAAATGCCAAGGGATGTTATTCCACAACAAACCCCAACAAAGCCTCAAGAGGCAGTAGGTGGCTGGGTGACTCGAGAGGGTGAAGACACTACTTACCCTTCAAAACAAACATCCACCACTGGTTTAGAGAAACAACGTCCGGATAAAGCAGCTGCAATCGTTCCTCCGGTCACAACTGCCACCGACGAAGGTGCTGTTTCAACAAAGCCAGTAGATGAAACCAGTGCAAAGACAGGCTCCACGAGTGATGAACAAAAGTTGGTTGAAAACAGGGAAGGGAATGAAGAGGAAAGTTATAAAGAGCAAAGCCAGGAATCAGCCATGTCTTCAGCAACGGTTGCTGATAAAGTTGAAGAGAAAGAAAAGGACAAGAGTCAGAAATCTGGTGATGCAAAAGGGAAGGAAAAGGAAAATGTCCAGGCAACTCTTGTTTCGGAAAAGAAAGGCATGGGGAAGGAACTGAATGAAGATAGGTCATTGATGATCAACATGGGCGCAGCCATCCTGATTATTGCAGCACTAGGAGTTTCTCTATTTTATAACTTAATAAGGTCATAAACTAGCTAAGGTCTTTGGTACCAAAATGCACTGTCATGCATAAGTCATGTTGCCTATGATTATGTATCACCCTAGCTAAAAGTTGAAGCATATTTTAGATAGTTCCAAGAAGCCTACTGAGGGAGGACAGATGATATATATAGCACTTCCAACATACATGCTGATTACTGCTTCAAACTCTCAAAGACTAAACCAAAATGATCCTAACAATTAAGAACATATGCCCAAGTTGCACTACTGATAACTTCTAAAATTGTTTTGATCCTATACCCAAGGTAAAGCATGTTTCAAACTGTAGTGAAATTAATTACTTATAAATTGATTTTTCTCATTAATCAGAACAGAACTTTCAATAATAAAACTGAATAACGTCTTGCTTCGTCTTAGGAGATCATATAGTATAAATATAAAAAATTAATCACAATTTATTTATAAACTGAATAACACTTTGATATTTTGTGTATTAATTTAAAAGCTCGTTTAGCATTAATTCAATCAATTCAATTAAGCTCTACACATGATTGACATATTCATATTTGTGAAGTCTCATTCATTTGAGCAATTGATGATGCTTGCGGTTACAATTTTGGGTGTTAGAATTATCATTTTGTTTTTCAAAATTAAGTTACATCAAATTTGTTGTTTTGGCATTTTTAATCTTTTACTTGTTATGCTTTAAGATTTATTACCCTGTGGCTAAGATCATCTTTTGATATTTAATTTCATATATATATATATATATATAAAAATCATCTTTTCTCAAATCTATCATCATCAGCTACCAAAGTTAGGGACAATGTTTGAGGATTGGTCATTTATTAGTGGATCCACCATCTCAAAACTATTATTGGTATACAAGGATTCATAACCAATGCCTCACCTATCCCATCTACTTTCCAAAGCCTTAAGAATAGCAAACCTTGGGTCTTCCTATTTGCTATAGCAGAGACACACAAGAATCAACCAAAGTAATTTAATTTCAAGACCAATAGGAGTCCTGCACCTCACAACTATGATGTAGACAAATATGAAGGACTAAAGGGATATCTAAGATTAAAAGACTATTTGAGAATATTGAGCTACCAATCAAAGTTAGATTTATCTTTTAATAATTACCTTTTAATAAGCCTACTTTGCCTCTTCCCTAACCCCCAACCAAAGTCAAATATTTTCAATGAATAATTACTGTACTTTCTGGCCTTACATGATTATCAGGATTTATCTCCTAAAATATAAAAGACCCCTATTCTAATCACTCAGGAATAAAGAACAAGATAAACAAGGCTTTACCATGTGTACTTGAATGTTCAAATGGTACTACATCTTACATTCATGTAGATCCAGAGAAATACCAATTATTGACCTCTATATTAGGGTGAAATAATTTTCTAATTTTGCTTCTTTGCCACTTGGAAAAATGTTAGTAGTTGAAATTAGTATCTAAACCAAATAGAAGCCTTTGGCCACAGATCACACAAGCTGAAATCACTTACTATTGTTTGACTAAATATTTTTTTTATCTAAAATATTCTATAAAAATCTATCCAAAAATTAAAAATAGTTGGACAATATAGTTGTGTATTCACATTGCCCAGTCTTATACCATGTTCACAGATTAATGGCATAAATGTGTCAAATTTGATTAACATATAAGCCATTATCTACATGATATTGAAACATGCATTGATTTTTCCAGTGATTTTCAAATATAATTTTTTATGTATAATTTGAGCTATAAAGTTGTGAGTACTTGTCGGATAGTTAGGAGAGTTAAGTCGGATGGTTAGCAAAGTTAAGGAATTGGTGCTTGATTTTTAAGAATTAGTTTCTAATTTTGTTGTTTAGATATTTTCAATTTTTCAAAATAAAGAGATTTCTTAAAATAGGAGATCTTTTCTAGTGCTTAGAATAAAGGGATTCAATAATAGATTCTATTGTTATGTTTTCCCT